GGCATTAATAAGTCCTAAGGTAGACAAAACGTCTACCGTACAAATGACACTTGCTACAATCTCAGATGATCTTTCTAACTTTTATGATCCTCCGGCGCGCCTCGCAAAAGTGGAATCGCCCGTCGATCTTATCCGCTGCGCCTCGCAGAAAATGCACCTCGACTAGGTGTCCCCGGGAAGTGGATGAATCGGGCGCTCTTCTTTCCCTCGCCATCTCGTATCTTCTATTTTCTGGCGCTCGACGCTTTGTACATTGTCCCTGACACGATCGCGGCTGCATGCCGTGCAAAAAGTAGGGCAAAACCCGGCCCGGCCCCGACGACGGGCCAACTTGTGTAACGACATCCCTGCTCGCGCGCGCGCGCGCGCTCGCGCGCCAGCCGAGTCCGCTCTCGAGGGTGGGACATTTATTACGACGACTACCGACGACACCGACAACTTTCTCCGGCAGGATAAATAACGAGGCAACCGGCAAAATATTTTATCCGGTGGCGGTGTACGTCGAGAGCCGCGCTCTTCAAGCCTACGTGGCTTAGGACGCGAGACGCGATTGGTCCCTCTCGCCCCCGTTTCTCACCCCCTGCCGGCGCAGTTACCGCCCCTGGATTTGCCGGGTTAATCCGCGAGGTCAAATATTAACGATTCCGCTTGTTTGTCCGCCGGCCTCGTAACAACAGGGGTCCGCGAATTGTCGAGGATCTTATCTCGGCCTTGGCTCCGACGATAGAGCGCTGTATAACGAATGCCGAAGATGATATCGAGGATGTTTGCCTCAACGCTCTGATTCGCTCGTTAGAAGATTGTTAGATGCACGTAATCGAAAACCGACGAGCGATATCGTCGACCTAGTATAGTACGTGGATCCCGCGCTATGTAAACTGGTGAAGCCAACAAAAGATAAAGAGAGAGAGAGCGAGAATAAAGAAGATGCTCTCACGTTGCTATGTTCGCGCGTAATGTTCTTCGGCGCGTCTTTGACACGTGGGCAGCATATTTTGACAATAGGTGCAGGGACGTTTCCATTCTTTTCTATCCACAAATCCTTATTAAATATAGTAGTTACATATTTATTACATTGTTAATAAAAATAAAGAATTAGTCGGTTTTTGTGGTTGTAGTTGCAATAGTACACGACGCAATAGATGTTTTTATTTTTGAGAGCATACAAGTTCACGAAAAGTTGAAAATATACGCGTAGACAACATCTTTATACTGTTCTTGCGACAAATCATATGCCTTGGTGGTCGAATTGGTGAGACGCCCGCCTGGAGTGTAGGGAGGTCCAGGTTCAAACCCTAACTGAGGTAATATTTTTCGCAATATATTTTCTGTATTATTATGCCAGGTATGGCCACGAAAACACTGACGTTGTTAATTACCGCTGGCGACAATGAACAATTCTGAATAGAAATTATATTCGATGGGTATAAATCGCACACGTCATAATGAAGACGTTCTCTGCTATTGTCAAAACTATCCACGTGTCAAAGATACGCGGAAGGACATTGCGCGTGAGCATAGTAATATAAGAACACCTTTATTCTCTCTCTCTCTCACCCTCTCAGTTTTGCCGGCTTCAATTGACATAGAATGCGGGGTTCGTGTATACCAGGTCCGCGATATGCTGAAGGGAGGGTTGCACGACGTTGGCTCGGCAATCCAACCCTGGAATCTAAACTCAAGAATCCTTAATCTTGTTACTTCCGGTCCCAGTGGCGGATATTTAGTGGCTTTATCGATGTTAAACTCTTCGCTCATCCTTACGCTCTTAATTACAGCGGAAATGCCGCGCTACGAGGTTAACGCAGTTATTTGTTTGTCACCTGGCTGTGCGCCTGGGCCTCGCTTAATTTTATCACTCCGCACTAATGCCGCATTAACGGCGCGAGGAATTATAAATTCCAGCGTCAAAGCGACCGGTGTTACTATCTAACGAGGCAACGGAGATTTCATTACGCTGGGCGCGAAGGGCTCACCCGGTATAATCGGATTCGCCCCGTCGAGGAATTGGGGCATAATTTTCGGAAATACCCGTGACCGCACCCTGCTTTATCAGTCCGATATTTCGCAATTTAATGGATTACATAATTCATAAAGGCTTTACCTCATAATGGGCCGGAGTTTCGTGCCGTTCTCTTAAGTGTCTCCATAAATACATTACGCAATTTCTACGGTTTCACGACTGAAATCTTGGTAACGGTTATCGATTCGCGATATTACTCAACCCTTTCATGACTACTGAGACACGTAAGTCTCACCCTCTCGAAAAGGATGTCTAATAACGGGGCAAAAATGTTCTCGACATATTTAAACTTGTCGCAACCTCGTGCGGGGTAAAAAGATAAAACAATATTAAGCTGAAATCAATCATTTCTACTCTCCTTTCTCGAATTAAATAAAATTTACTTACTCCGCCAAGAGAAAAGTATAAATTATTATAGCTTATGTAATTCTTGCGTTTAGAGTAAATCATTTCCCGATGATGCGCCTAGTTTTAATTTAGATTTAAGAATTTTCCATTTAAAATTAACATGTTTTTTTCTCAGTATTAAGTACAGTGTTAAATATGATTCTCGATATATCGATCCTATTTTATGATAAATAGTGCAATAGTGTTGGATCCGAAAATCTTTTTTGTAGGTGCATTTGCCAAATTTAAAAGGACTCGGCGATCGAGCACGCGCTCTTACTGAGAAAACGTTTGTATCGGCGAAAATTTGAAAAGAAAAAATGAACTCGGTGACGAAAAAGTTAATGCAAAAATGTTTACTCGTCGCTAATATATTTCCACTGGTTTTTCCCGTCTCGGCCTTCCACGTTTTCGCGACGTATCGCGTATACCGAGACGACCGCAGCCACGGTGACGTTTACGGAGGCCCTGAAAAATCGCCGGTGACTCGGCGAGAGACCCCGTGAGCTCCATCGGCTCGAGGAATTATATACTCGGCATAAAACGAGCGGCAGTTAGTGTTACGAGAATTGCTTCCTCGACTTTTGTGAAGCGCCCGGCGCGGCGGCCCTCGCGGCCGCGAGGTCACGGGAGGCGTTTGAAGTCGCCGAGTCTCCGGGGCCAACCGCCATCCGCCGCCATCCCACCATGAATTCATTCGCACCCTCATGAAATTCAAAGCAGTCGTTACGGTCCCGGCACAACGACAACGAGTGCGACGCGACGACGACGAGGAGGACGAAGAGGACGAAGAGGACGAGATGACGCGGGCGGACGGCGGCGGCTACGTGCGCGGATGCATAGCGCGGTGCGCGCCCCAGCCACCTACGTGTCCTCCCCATTCTCGCACGAGGGAGGGCGTTCGATGTTTTATTTATAATTTGTTTATCTCATCATCTGCTCGCGGACCCGCCGACTTGTATATGTAACGGTGTCTACACGCTGCCGCCGCGGTCCGTCAGCGACTCCCGAGCGTCGTCCGTCGAAAGCATGAATAGTCAAACGCCCTTTTCTCCTCCGCGCCGTATGTACGTACTTCTCGCCGGGGACTTTTCCCGCGAGAGCGTCGGCCGGCGCCGGGCGAAGCGGATAAACCCCTCTTGGTGAATTCCTCGAGCAAATTCCTCCTCGTTCGTTTCACGCGACGGGCGAGAAGCGCGAGGGGGAGAAGCCTGTAATTTACAAGCCCGGAAGACCGGGAATGTTTTAGAATTTCGGTGACGTGCTCGATCTTTTCTCGCGTTCGTGATTGACAACAGGTGGAATATCGAGATCGCAGATTCCGCGCGATTCGTTACGTAAAAGCGGACATCCGGATGGATGTGGGGGGGGGGGGGGGCAGAGAAAGGAGATCAGTTCGGGCTCCGGACGCTTCGACTCGGATTAATTCTTTGCGACATATATCGTTACGTCACGCTGACCGATGGTAGCGATTGAAACTTGGCAAACTGATCGACTTAACGACCGCCAATTATTCAACTTTCCGGTGGATTTTACGCGACGCGCCCTCGCTTTGAGCGAACGTAATGCCCTCGCCGGGGCATTTAGAGCCGTAGGAGCCTGAGAAAGGCGAGGATTTCGTAAGAAACAATGCCTGGAAGGCGCCGCGGCATAACCAGTCGCGCTACATCTCGTGCCCCGCATCAGATACATACGAGAGCGTACTATTCCGGATGCGTTGGAGTGACCTGATCCGACATTCTCTCGCTGAAGGCGCGAACACGCTCTCTCCGCATCACGACATGATGAAATTCAAGGACACTCTTTACAATAGCACGCCGAGCTCATAAATAACGCGCACAATAGGTTCAGCGACTCGACGAATATATACAGAACGCCAGATAAATATGGCTGCAAGTAGGTAACTCGCGTCGAAATGGAAAATCGATGCCGACACGTTGCCCGAAGTGTTTTCTCACGATTATACGTTTTTCCCCAAATGTAAAGATATTTTCGCCCCGCTCTCTCGCGATCCGCGCTCGAGGTGAGCTTTACATTCCATTTAGCGGCGCGTCAAGATAATTACATTAGCGTAATTCGGTAGGGAAGTGTTCTCGCGATACTCGAATCGGTCAATTATCTGTCCCGAACAGCGTCCTGATTATATAGATAGATTATATAGATAGATAGATCTCTTTTTCCGGGCGGTTCATCGGGCGCTCGGATTTAATGCACTCTGGAGGCAAGCGCGTTCGATCTCGAAAAGGTTCAGATGGATGAATAGCTACTGAGGTCAAGCGAAGGGTCGCGAAATCGCTCTCGTGTAAGCACGCGAGTCTAAGGAGGTCGAGTGGCCGGCTCTCTCCGAGGCTTCCAGCTTCTGCGAGTCCTCACGGGCTCCCGTCCGTACCGCTCTATTCCGCCGCCGTGACCTCCTCCAAGGTGCATTCCCTCGTTTTATCCTCTTTCCATCTTAATAATTGAGACGTAAGATATCGTAAGTGGATCCTTTGAGATGGCCGGGCGTATTCTTTCGCGGCGCCATAGAAGCCGTTCGCCAAGACGAGCGGAATGACTTCAATTTCGTCGACAAGTTAAATTAAGTAATACCTTTTCTCTTCCAATCGTTTTATTAACCTGGCCCAGCGTGCAACTCGCTCGAATGGACTTGACTGTTTAGATTATAGTTTATGCCTGGATTTGAGTGAACTCGAATTACATGCGCAAATGTTTAGAATAGAAACGTAGCTGTCATACACTTCAAGCTTTGCTTAAATTTATTTGCAAATTAATCTTATCTTTGTTGCTGCAACCATTATCCATAATCATTTTAATGCAACTGTGTCTGATAGAGTGCGAGATGAAAATTAAGTTCTGTGTAAATATCATTTTCTTTACTAAATATCTCACAAAAAGTTACGTTGTGTCTACGGATAAAATTCATTAACGCGGTGGAAACGAAAGTTGGTTCTACTTCTAGTTCGTTGGTGTTAAAGTGTAGTCGTCTAACCTTCTTTATTTACATAATTGTTGATCTCTTTGTAGTCGTTCTTGATGAACTCGGCGACTCTCTCGCCGATCATGTTGATCGAAGCAACGGGATTACCGGAAATCATCTAAGAGATAGAACAACAATTTACTGATCTCAAGAGCTACGAGTGCGTCTGCGAATCGCACTTTTTTTTTCTGGACTATGTTGCACGTGGAAAGACATTTGTAAAAGTTACTTGTACATTCGGCACGATATTCGATTTCTAAACTTCCATTCTGAACAAGAATATGACGTGACGTTGTATTAATTAGCCGATGTTCGTGAAGATTTCAAAACTGCTACTCACCTGAGGCATAATGGAGGCGTCGGCCACTCTCAAACCGTCTACGCCGTACACTTTGAGACTTGGATTAACGACAGCCATCGGGTCCGAGGAGGGACCCATTTTGCAGGTCCCGGCCTGGTGATTTTCGGGCCTGGTATCGTATCGGAATAGGCAGTCCCAATACGCGTAATCCTCGTTACTCTTTTTATACTGTTCGCACTCCGGGATGCTTTCCTCTATCATCTTTAGTTTATACTTTTTCATCGTTCCTGCTTCCGATAACTTTAAGATATACTGAATACCCTGGTAAATAATCGATCGATCCTGCGGATGCGCGAGATCGTTGCTCCAGATGACCGGAGGTTGCAAAGGGTTTTTCGAGGCAAGCGTTATTCGACCTGGAATTTATTAATGAAATGCATTTCAACTATTGCGCCACGGTAGCGAGCAGAATTGTTATTGTTTACAGAGTATTATACCATTTTTTAAATTTCATTTAATTTGTCGATACTTTTTAATTGTAATTAGTGAAATGCTAGTGGAATGCAATTGATTTTCATTCGATACTATTACGTCAGACGTCGGATGTCAGAGAATGTTATTAATCGCGTGAACGAAGTTGCATGAAGAGAGATTTAATTATCAAAGTAGGCAAGAAAATATATCGACATAGTTTCGGTGAAGAATGCCGACGGAAAGAGTTGAAGGCGTTGTTTTAAAATCCCGTCGAACACGTAGCTATTTACATTGACAGCAGTCTTATGCTAATATCGGGCTATTTAGGGCAAAAGTTACGCAATTGTTGACTTACCTCTACTTAGTGTTTGCATATTTACGGCGGTGAACCTAACGGTTCGTTTGTTATCGTGCGCTTTCAAGTCCGCGATTCTGCCGCCTGTGTTGCAAATGGCTTGATAGCCGGCGAAGAATACTTGAATGTCCGGATCGTCCGCGGTGGTGTAGTTGGACGCGAGAATCCCGGTGACCTGGGCCAAACCCGTGGACGACAGCGGGCCGTTTTGATCGTAGAGATACATATCGGCGTTGTCCATGTTCAATTCTTCCACATTCGTCTCATCGAGAGCGAAGTCCACGCCGTACGATACATGGTTGTGGAGATTTTGGCCAACCCCCGGCAGATCGTGGACTGTGCGAATCCCCACGGAATCCAGATGACTCCTCGGGCCGATGCCCGATAGGAGCAGGAGCTGAGGCGAATTTATGGCGCCGGCCGTGAGGATCACTTCCTTCTTCGCTCTTACGTAATATTCTCGGCCGTTCTGCAAATAGTAAGTCGTCCATCATGCTCGGGACGAATAATCGCTCGTGGAAATCGCCAAGTCGCACCCCGTAGAGACTGGAGGAGCGTGTCGCCGACTCACCATGGTGAAAGTGATTCCCTCGGTGAACGTTTTTGAAAAGATCGTTTTCGTATTGATTTTCGTCACGATCGCGTTCAGAGCCACGTGTAGATTTTGGCGATTCCGGTGCGGCCACAGGTAAGCCCTGGCGGTACTGAGTCTAACGCCATTTCGGCTGATCGTCTGCGCGACGGTGAAGCCTGTGATATTCTGGCCCACCAAGTCCTCGCTGACTCCCAAGCCTGCCTCCTCCGCCGCCGTCATTATATCCCAGGCGAACTGCGGCTGCCAGGAGAATCTATTAATGAAAGTAGTCAGCGAGTTTAATTCATACGTGTAGATCAATTAAGTCGGCAGGGAAATTGTGGGGATTACGTTCGAGGTACGTTGTAGTCCTAGACGCATAGATCCTGCTTAATGAGTGCCGGATCAACTACTTATCGCGGGAGACAGGGACAGATGCGACGCTGGAATACTTTTCGAGAATAAAATTAACTTCCAAAGAACAACTGATTGTATAACAGGTAGCACGGGTCTGTTATAAACTGATCATGGCAATCGCATTTACTCCCGAGTACAACTATTCTGAAAAAGACACGGATGATTTCATATGGTTCTTTTTATCTTATATGACGTAAACGGCAGCCTAAAAAAGTGCGAGGAATAAAACAGCGTTAATTCAGGGGGAAACGCGATGTTTTTGCACCTTTCGACTGTCATCGGGCCTCCAGTGGCATGATCCTGCGACCTGACCCTTCCAATCTCTTTGTTGTCCTCGGATCTAAAGAAGTACGGCAACACCTAGCGCACAAAAATTAATAATGCCTCACGTCGTGCCACGAAGAGTCTTAACCAATAATAATCTTTTCTCGCTTCATACTTCTCTCCACGACCACCCCATGTTCCCCATTTTCACCCATCTGTCATAGTCTTTCGCGTGGCCTCGGTGGTACGCCATACCATGGTGGGCAGTGCACCCCCCGAGATTTTTACCCCTGGGCCAGCTGCAGCTGCCGTTGTATCTCAGGCACGCGTACGACTCGTTCGTGGTCTTGTAGTTCCAATCTAGTTCGGTATCTGCAATATCGCTCGATTGAAATTACCCGCGCGGCGAGACGTTAATTTTCTCAGCGTCCATAAAGACATAAAGATATATTACTCAGATAGAGTTGGAGATTGCTCGGTATTTGCATGCCAGCTGTCTCGTCCGGCCCGGCCTCTACAAGGAGCACATTCCACTTCCCTATTTCGCTCAGTCTAGCGGCCGCGACCGATCCAGCCGCACCACCTGAATTAAATCAATTAACGTCCACTCGATCCCACAAGAAAAAGAAATCGCCTTAACTCGCCGATTGTAATCGATACGATTTTAAGGGTGAATCGCGGATCCGCGCGAGCAATTCCGCGCTCGTCGAGCATAATTTTGCGAGGCGTTTCGTGAAATTGCTAGACGAGGTAGGTCTTAATAGCCCATTCTGTTTACGGGTACATTGATTATCTTACCTCCGACGACAATGAAGTCGTAAGTAAGCCGCGGTCTCTTGATGGGCGTGATGCGGTCGCACACGCCGTTAATTATAGGACTATAGGCGGCCAACACGTTCATCATGGACAGAAACAAAGTGGCGGAATTGCCGCTGCAGACATCGGTCAATGAGAGTCCGCTTACGAAGGGCGACGAACATGGTGCTTCCGGCATCACCGACACGTTCTATAATACCGCATAACATATAGTTTGCTCCAAATATATTGCGGCACTTAAGAATGTTGATCTCGAGTTTATGCATCGTATAAACCGTAGAACGATGCTCCATTATTTTGCGCATATCGCGGCTATTACTACAGTGGAAATCACTTTACTCACGCAATGAAATTACGAATAACGCAATAATCTACTGGGGTTTAACGGATTAATCTTGCATAATTCTCTCGATTCACTTTTATAGAATCCTGTATAAAAGTTTAATTTATTAATTACGATAGGCAAATACTATTTTATTCAAACCTGCTCGTTTTCAAATATGTATACTCGTTTTATTTTCTGTCTCGAAAGTTACGGAGAGTTTCAATCGCAGCGAGATAGATTATTTAACGCTCTTACAATGGATGTCGAAATGTTGAGTTACGTTTAAAGGTTTTACGAAAGGATCTCGCTTTTCTGTTCGACCGCGATGTCCCGATTTTTTCTGAGCACTGAAAACAAAATTTTCGCTACCACAGCTAATCACGGTTTGTTAAAAATATTTTGTTGCCATAACTGTAAATTTTTTAACCACGGTCTACCAAACGGTCCGCTGTCGCACCTAATACACAGGCCCAGTAGCAAAATGTTTAGCTGTCGCAATTAAATATTAGCTGTCTATATTTTATAACCAAAATTCAGTTACCGCATGCAGTTTTAACTACGAGAGCTACATTTTTTCTGCGAAAAAACTCACTTTTGTTAAAAGAATAGATACATGCAACATCGCGTGCACTATTTGGTTTTAACTTACGTTTATTCGCCAGCTTCTTCATTACGATTTTTCTCACGCGAAGAAGTCGCAACGTAAGAAGACAGCCTGACGTTGCCAAGCTGTCAAACTATACATGATCTCCGCGCTGGGTGTACTCTCGCGGCGCGAAGTGAGCCAAGCGAGAGAATTGATCAGCGTCGCGAAAAAAGGCAACAATACTCGGATACATTCGAGACGCGGCGTTACATGCCTTTTTTAGCCTCTCCCACCTGATACAATTGACAAGCGATACAACTGTAACATACCATTTTCCGTGAATGCGATTGTCGTAGGGAATCTTGTCTGTTGCGCTCTCAGCTTTTACTACCTGATTGCGGCGTCTGTTTTGTTGTCGCCTTGTTATATACCCGTATTCCTGTATATGCATATGCACGTTCCGCGAAATGTCTAGCTGTGATTAAGTGCTCAACGCACATAACATAAAAACGATAATAATGGGCGCGTGTTATATACAACCCATGCTTGTCACACTTGTAAATCACCGCGCGTGCTATCATTTTAGAAAAAATGACGGATGGTCTGTCGCTAAAATAGCGCAAATAAAATAGATATGCGCTATTATGACGCGCACTTCCGCTGAACTCATTTGCATCGCGGAAGTAAAAGGTCGCACGTTATACGTAAAACATAGTTTATTGATATGGTGTGAAAATTTTATCAAATCGTTTTGTACAAGCGGATTATTTCCGATTCAATTCTTGTGACAAGCAACCGTTTTATTTTGAGGATCTCGATTATCGCATTTATTTGCAATTATTATGCGTTTACGTGGCACATAAATATATTTATTTATATGACACGTAAACGCAATTCATGATAGCATAATAGGAGCGGATCGTTGAAAGCGGGTGCGAGCAATTATTCTATATTTGGTCTCTACTATTATGCAATCTTGTTTATTTACAGTATTTTGATTTACACTCGGACGCTCTGAGAGCGATTCCGAGCTATTCGTATTTATAATCCATTTTTTTTACATTTTTGTTTCGTTAAAAATTAATTGCTACGTTTTTGGCGGTTGGCGTACCAGGTACCAGAATCTGTCTTTGGTCATCATTTCAATAGGACATCCATTGGTATCATATGCCACAGCTATTGAAAAATATTATGAACGCGCTATCGAAAGAGATTGTCAGCATAATATGTACATCTAAACGTTTTAACTCTAAACTTTTGGTGCATACGGTAACTATAAACAATAGGAAGTTGTAGCGTGTTTGAGGAGTTAACAGTTAAATAGTGTCACAATGTCACAATTCGTCAAGAGTATTCGTTACGTCCGTGTTTCGGTCAACATATTTAAGTACTTTATCGGGGCTCGGACTAGATTGCGTGAAAACTAATAACGACGAAAATAGTGCAGATAATAGATTTTATTCTCGCCCGGAAAGATAGCAATTTGTAGGATCGCGAAGGGAATCGTATTAATATATGGGAGATTTCTCACAATGTTTTACCTTTTATTCGTGTCTTTCAAGTCTTATTATAAGATGATCGTCAATTTCTAAGTGTTCAACCCGAAAATACTGTCGTCTGAATGTCGAAGAACTGAACTGTTGGATTAAAAAAAAAACTGAAACTGTGTTCCGGATATATGTGTGTGTGAGTACGTGAGTAGAAAGAAGTGAGTACCTGAGTGAGAGAAGTCGAGTAAGTAAGAGTCTATGGCGTTTTGCGCTCCTCTGTATACCCCGAAAAATAACGAGAGCCTCCCCTGCTGGAGTCTCTCACAATTTAGGACTTATCTTAGTAGGAGGGAGAAGGTTTTTCTAGAAGTTTGTGATATCTGGACCCGGAGCTACGTGTCTTTAGCCACGTCACCCTGTTGGAATTTTATCTGTAGGTAAAGAGAACGTTCTATGCGAGCGTTCGAAAAGGAAATTCTAGAAAATTGCAAGAATTTTGTCCGTCCGTGACAGTAACAATACTCATAAGTTGTACAGAGGTTTGCGCTCCTTGCGTCACGACTAATTAATTGATAACGGCTCTCCCGACAGCTACGACGCTACGAGACGCGCAATCTTAGGAAATTCCTAACTGGAAATTAAGACATGGCGATGCAGCGAGCCGACGACTGTCTCGAGTTATTAATATTAACAACAATCGTGCACGTTGCGAGTTAATTTCGAGTCTAACGTAGCGCTCGTGCGATCGAGCGCGGCGCGAGTCCGGCCCGATCGCTCGATCATACCGAGAGGAAAGGAAATCGCAGCCTACGGAGATCTTCCAGAGAGTCCTCGCCTTGGTCGCGCTCTCGCCGACTTTCTTAGGCTGCGGAAAACTCATTGATGGATGCAATAAGAGACTAGATAGATCGTGGAGCCCGGCTACCATATAGCCTGATCCCAGTCGATGTACTTGATCCCCCAAAGTAATAGGTCCAGCGTACTGTCGATCGTCGTGTGCGAACTAGGAAACATGGTAAATTGCTGGTGACTAATGGTGCATCCAATGATGGTGATGATCACCATGATTGTGTTTCCATATGGGGCAAGGTTCTTTCCCGTACCATTGTGTACCGGCAACGCCCCAGTCGGACTTGATGTACGCGGCCGCCTTTTCGCCGATCATCATGGACGGGGCTGCCGTGTTGCTGGACGTTACCTTGAAAAGCAAGCACATGTTCGCGTCTATATCTCATCTTTCAATTCTGACGAATTGGGATTAGAAGAATCATATAGCGAGCTTTCATAGAATGTTACAGAGTTGCGAAATAAGAGTTCGTCTTGCGAAGGTTATACTGAAATATTGAATTGCAGCTAAGAAGAAAAATGACTAACTTGCAATAGATTCAAATATAGATTTGCATCGTCGCGCGGAAGCTTGCAAATTCGTTAATCTCGTTTTGGATAATGTATCATTCGCGTCAGATTAAACAAATTTTTATTTATAATAATTTTTGTGCTGTGCACATTTTCACCCGCTCGGATTCAATTGTTTTTCGTATTACGCGGCGCATAAAATTATAAAATACTATCTTGAATTTCAACGCGAATTATGGATCTTTAAAAATGGGGGCTTTTACGTAATGGGAATCCCAACGGGTGATCAAAAACCCTAATGATGAAGGTGCACACCTGAATAATGGTGCATTAATGATAAAGCAGAATCTTCGCGATGGAAAAAATAACGATCGCCCGTTTTGGTCGGAAACCGCTCGCACATTAGAAGACAAAAGAGAGAAGAGGAAAAAATGCGTCAACACTCGCGATTACGGAAGGAACCTACCTGCGGCATAACGGATGCGTCGGCCACGCGGAGATTCCCGATGCCGTAGACCCTCAATCGATTGTCGACCACGGCCATGGGGTCGTTGGGCGGGCCCATTTTGCAGGACCCCGCTTGATGATTCTCTGGACCGGTATCCTGGCGCACGGCGCAGGCCCAATAGGCCTTGCTCAGGTAGGGATACCGAGAGCACGCGGACAACGGTGCGTTGTTCAGGGTCATGTTGTACTTGGCCATGGCACTGGTGTTGGCGAGGGACAGCGCGACCTCGATGCCCTCGACGAGGATCGTCGCGTCCATGGGATCGCTCAGGTAGTTGCCCCAGATGAGCGGCTTGGCGAGGGGGTTGTTGCTGGCGAGACGCAGCTTACCTGTGGCCAAATTCGTTTATTGGCGGCGGTTAATCGGCGAGCGGAACGGCCCGTTGACGCGCGCCGTACATTGACTATCGAAATTCACCGGAATTTCACGGAGACGTAACGCCGGAGCGTTGATTAATCAATTTGTAGAAATTTTCCTGGTGATAACCACGCTCACGGACCCGCCGGTCCCATCATTCCTGCGTTAAATTGTGGATGGAATTCTGGCGCGGTGGTGCCGTGATCGATGATAAATTGATCGAAATTGCCATCTAATTAGATAATTTTTGCGGGCGAAAGTCCGATACCTCGGGCTAATTACGTTCGCTCACCCTTGCTGCGCGGGTGCGTCATCGTCGGCGACATGCTGATACTGCGACCGTTGTTATTCAGGACGGCACCCACTTCGCCGGTGGTCGCGCAGGCCGCCTGATAGCCGCCGAAGAAGAGCTGGATGTCGGGATGATCCGGCGTCGTGTAGATCGACGGTAGCATCCCGGTCAGCTGCGATAAACCAGTCGACGACATCGGCCCTTTCTGGAAGGCGATATATTCCGTGGCGGACGCCCAGGTCAGGTCGTACAGGTTCGGCTGATCGATGGTCCACGATAAAGTGTACGACGCGTGATTATGCAGGTTCTCCCCGACACCTGCGGCAAAATGGTCCGGCCGATTAAAAACGCAATTATCGACTCTGCCATAATTCCTGTCGGCGATCCACGGCGCCGAGCGTCGCCGCGTCGACGCTCGTTTCCGTCAATTACGTTCAATAAGAACGGAAACTTTCCGCGCGCTTTCCGTAATTAACGCGGAGGCGCTCGCACCTATATCCGCGGGAATTAATCTCGGTCGTACTTTAAATAAGATACTCCGAAGAATCTAAGAACTAATTTTCTCCAATGCCTAATTAGTTCTCCCTCAATCCGGCGCGAAATTCCCGTTTGGCTCTTTGTTGAGTTTATCTCACAATCAGTGGGACTCTCGATACTGTCGCCCGCGTAAATGCAGAGCCGCCGATCGATTGATAAACTCTCGCGCGTCATCGGTAAATTACGCTAAATTCTGCCGGCTGTCGGATTATTATCTTCCCCGGCAGGATACACCGCCGTATTCGTAATGACTTACGTACGATGAATGGATCGCTTACCTGGAAGATCCTTGACGACTGTGACGTTCACCGCCCGCAGATGTTCCTTCGGCCCGATTCCGGAGAGTAGCAACAGTTGAGGCGAATTTACGGCACCACCGGAGGCGATTACCTCCTTTGTGGCGCGGGCAACTCGAAGTTCACCATCCTGAAGATGCGTTCATTGAAACTCACATCACCAAACTCACCGACGCGCTTTAGAGCGCGAACTTGATTTCGCGTCTAAGTGCCGGTAACCGCTCCGGCAAAAAGCAAAGTTCCCCGATGCAGCGCAATATCATCATATTATGCCTCGTCTACTTTCAGCAACGCGTATACTTTGCGGCGTTCAATTAATGAAAACGAGATCTAGGCGCCTTTATGTACTACCACTCTCGGATATCTAAAGGCGCCGATGTGTTAAACTAGAACGAATTTATTACTGATTTGCATACGGAAAACTCATGTAAATGCAGCAAACAAGATAAAAATAATCCTCTTAATAGCCATGAATGTGACTCTATTACGCGAGATCCGTGTGCTATCAGCTATTGTGTAATTATTGATTTGCACGTGAAAAACTTGTAACTTCAGCGAGGTAAAAATCATCTTTTTAATGCTCGTGTAAGTGACTCTTATGCGATATCTGCGCATGAGCTGCCGGCTATTACATAATTATTGGTTCGCACACGAAAAAGGACTCGAAGCTTGAACGGGGGGGACAAAAACTAATGTTTCTAATATCCATGAAAATGACTTTGCATCGCGCGACTTCTGCGCATGGTTACTAGAGCGTTGTACCTTAATATAGCTCAAACAATAAAATAAGACCCTCGGTGAATTCCCATTCGTGCATAATGCAGATTTTTCAAGCGTGACGTAATTCAGCGTATTAATAAACGTTGCAGCGGGTTTCTCCGTAACTCTCGATTGGATAAAAACCTCATGCTCGCGATATCGTGACAAGCAGAATTTCCGGTATCCATAAAAATTTTATCTGTCAATCATGCAACACTCGAATATTCGAAAATAGGTTTAGAGATAATATATTGCTGCAGTTATATAACAATTTGGGCAATTAATCTGAACTAATTGACGTTTTTGATTTCTTTGAAAGGTGACGCGAATTGAAATTTCACATCCCATATTTCTCTTTACTTATACAATATTAAAAATTTTAAATAGAGGGAAACATTCGTAACTACATTAGGTTTTAATTTAGACCAAGCCGTTAATTAATATTTGGTGAGTTATAACGAAATGACTTCCTGCTAAATGAAGCTTCCAACATTTCTGGCACAGTTTCCGATGTGCTACATCACATTTTAGAAAAATGAGTAATAGAATTATTATTTCATGTAACGGAATAATAATTAAACTTCAGAATAATATACGAACAGTAAATGAATCTTTAATGTGTGATAATAAAACGACGACGTTTCCGATCGCTGCCGAGTTAAGGTAATATAAATGCAAAGCTACAACGTGTACTACACCTGATAAAATTGGACTCCGACAGCCTTGTTATTTTCGATGAGGATCTTCGTGGCGGTGGCGTTTAGGGAGACGTGCAAATTACGCCGATGTCGTATCGGTCGGAGGAACGCCGCGGCGCTACTCACTCGGACACCGTTCTTGCTTGTGGTCTGAGCCACAGTGAATCCTGTAAATTGGTCGCCATTCAGGTCCTCGCTAATCGGGTATCCTCTCTCGACCGCCGCCGCGAGGATATCGTCCGCGATCGCAGGCTTCCACGGGAACCGTTCGACGGTTAACAGACCACCGGTCGAGTGATACTTGCGACCAACTCGGCGGACTTCTGTGTTGTTCTCGGAGCACATAAAGTATGGCAAGACCTAAACAAAATCAGCGGTTATCTCCCGCGAATGTATTTGCCGTACGTTATCTCCTCGAGTATCCCGCGGCTGAAAACTTTTTAGCGATCGATATTTGAAAAAAATATTATACGGAACTTTCTCTTCCTGGGTGTCGTTTTATAAAATCGCGAGACTCGCGATACCAGAACGTATGCTAATGATATTATAATTTATACTTTATAACATACTTTTTGCAAGTTCGACAAGTTACGACTGAATGATCGCGCCGACTGGAAACGGTAGTTTGTATCGTTTATATTCCCTATAAAGTGTCTCTCTCTCTCTCACTTGAGATTGCGAGTCCTGCGATCTAAAGAGACGGGTTCCGAGTATTTCAAACTGATTTCGCTTTTCACGGCTAAAATTAATTCGTCTGTACTTGGACTATCCGAAACGCTTGAAATACCGGCCAAAATTATATCACCCTTCGATTTTTTGAGCATGACTAATTTTACAATAATATGAATAAAAAAATTGGAAAGTCACGACGTATTTTGTCATTACCGTTCATGTACATTGTACAAGATGCACCTGTTATCGGGTGTCTACTGTCGAATTTTAAGGGGTCATTCCACTTTAGCGGCCCAGCGGCTATTGTCTTTAACAATTTTTTTCCATACATATTCATGCCAGTTTGAAAAAAGTTTGAAAAAGTACTTTTCAAAACGATTTTCAAACTGGCACCATTTTGTCAATTTTAAATAAAAGTTCTTAATTGAGGTTTGGGACATAGCGACACTCATATTAACAATCTCTTTAATTTTTTGTTTCAGGTAAGTCTGAATGATGAAGGTCATCGACGCAGCGGATTTGCAGCTTTCTTGACACGCCATTCGAACGGTATAGAAAACGCTTAATTAAAAAATTGTTTAAATTGACAAAATTTTTTTTTGGGTGTTATTTAGGAGTCCTAGTAATTAAGCGCCCTAATAAATCCCAAAAAGATTTATTTCATTGTATGGCGTATTTACTGTGAAAAAATGTTTAAAGATAAGTGCAGTTTTTGGGTCGTTAAAGTGAAACGACCCCTTAAGCACATTCGATGCACTTTGACGGAAGGTGTGCTGAGAAAACCCAAGGGTGATATAATTTTGGTGCTGTATAAGTCCCGTCGGGGGCAAGTTTATGGCGTCTTACGTCGCGCCAACTCCATCCGGGGTTGCCCATGGCCGCCCAATTGTCAAAATCTTTCGCGTGGCCCCGGATGTACATCATGCCATTGTGGACGGACGTGCCGCCTAGGTTTTTACCGCGCGGCCAACTGCAGGATCCGCCGGTTGACAGACAAGCGTTCATCTCGTTCGTGGTTTGATACTGCCAGTCAATGTCAGTTCCTATCGGCAAAATTGTCAGATCGTTTAACATGCGTAAAGCCCGCAACGGCTCGTAACGGCACTCGCAATAATGTAGATTCCGGATGGGCATTGCAATAATTTCCTCCCGGAGGTGCTCGAATCGCTCGCGTTTTAAATAAAAGCGATAAATACGATTATTCGCATTATTCCGGATCCGCGGGTATCTTAGATGCGCGAGTCGTTTCGCCGCATCTCTACAGATTTTATCGTAGCTAATTCGACGTATCGATTCTCTTTTAAATAAAATTACCGTTGAATTAAACGCGTGGCGTTGAGATGAAAATCAAGCTTCGGAGATGCTAATGTTCTTATTGAATTTCAAGCG